ATGTACATGCCATAAAAGCTACCAGGGCCCTCCTTTGGCCAATAGCATCCTTTTCCAGTCTTGGGGTATGACAAACAGAATAATAAAGAAAAAGGACGGCTCGGCACCTGTGGCTCAAGCGGCTAAGGCGCCAGCCACATACACCTAAGGTGGCAGGTTCGAATCCCCAGCCCGGGCCGCCAAACAACAATGATGGCTGCAACCAAAAAATGGCCAGGCATTGTGGCGGGCGCCTGTAGTCCCAGCTACTTGGGAGGTTGAGGCAGGAGACTCGCTTGAGCCCAGGAGTTGGAGGTTGCTGTGAGCGTGATGCCATGGACTCTACCCAAGGGGGATAGGATAGCTTGAGGCTCCGTCTCAAAAAAAAAAAAAAAAAGAAAGAAAGAAAGAAAGAAAAGAAAAAGGGCGTACGTGAAGAATTGCCAAAACAGAGAGAGGAAGCAGAAGAAAGGAATGACGAAGACACGGACAGTGACCAGGAAGTTGTTGAACAAGAAGTGTTGAAGGCTCGGTGCCCATAGCTCAGTGGTTAGGACGCTGGCCACACGCACTGGGGCTGGCAGGTTCGTACCCGGCCAGGGTCTGCTAAACAACAATGACAACTACAACAACAAAATAGCCGGGCGTTGTTGCAGGCGCCTGTGATCCCAGCTATTTGGGAGGCTGAGGCAAGAGAATCGCTTAAGCTCTAGAGTTTGAGGTTGCTGTGAGCTGTGACGCCGCAGCACTCTACCCAGGGCGGCATAATGAGACTCTGCACAAAAAAGCTAAAAGCTGAAGAAAAAACCTCAGACATGTCCCCTGCACAAGAGCCGGGAGAAGAACTTCCTGAGGAGTCTGCAGCACGTGAACAGTCTCCAACATCTTTTATCCTGATACAGTCATTCAAGAGGATGATGCTGACTTCAGTGCAGATTACGTGTAACAATGATGTCCTTTTATGAGATGTTCTGACACTGTAAGTAGATCACTAAATGTGTATATGATGTGCATTTGCAACGGTGTGACATAAGCTGTATAAATTTTGTGAATGTTATATTCATTAAATCAGGAATATCTAAAAAAAAAAGAAGCCAATCTGAAAAGGATATATACTATACTTTTCCAACTATAGAATGTTCTGGAAAAGGCAAAACTATGGAGAAGCAAAGCACACTGGCCTATGCCTGTAGTCCCAGCTACTTGGGAGGCTGAGACAGGAGGATCACTTAGCCTGCCTCAGTTCACCGGCCAGCCTGGACAACATGGCAAGACCCTATGTCAAAACAAAACAAAAAACAAAACAAACTATGGAGACAGTAAAAAAAGACCAGTGTTTGCTCTTCCTAAACTAGCACTGAACAAGGAGCAGCTGTGCTCCGTTTGAGTGCCAAGGCTATGAAGCCCAAATGGTGAGAAGCAAGAGGTGCTGAGTCGGGCATCTCCCAGCCTCCTCTGGAGCTGGAGATCAACATGGACCTCAAATCTCAGCAGTGAGAGCTAAATATAACTGCAGTCAAGGAAAATGAAATTTATGGTGGTTGGAAAGTCACCATAATCTTTTGTTCTTATTCCTCAACTGAAGATCTTTCCAAAAAATCCAAGTCTGGCTAATACATGAGATGGAGAAAAAGTTCCATGGGAGGCATGTTGTCTTTTCCGCTCAGAGGAGAATTCTACCTAGGCCAATTCGAAAATAACACACAACAAATAAGCTCCAGTGTCCCAAGAGCCGCACTCTGACAGCCTCGCGTGACGCAATCTTTGAGGGCTTGTTCTTCCCAAGGGAAAATGTAGGCTAGTGACAGGATGGCAGCCAGTTTATAATG